ATAAAGACCTGACAAGGCTATAACACCAGTTCCTAGTACCTTCCAATTTGGCCCCAGAGGTCCTCTCTTTGTCTTAACTGACTGGAATAATGCAGGGTCTTCATCAGCTTTGTAGTCCTGTAAGACAAAACACCCTGAGAGTCACAAACCCCACCGGATTCAACACCCCACTGCACTGAGCCTCTGCTCTGCCCATGACTCCCAAACCAGCTCCCTGAGTGCTCTGGAGCAGGATGGGTGGAGCTCAGGATGACTCAGTGGCCCCATCACACCTGCTCACTCCCCGTGTCCCATGACAGCTCTCCAGGGCTGCTCTGTGCCCTCAGCCCTGTCCTGCTGGGGCTGTAGCCCCCCAAGGGGAGGGAGGAGAGAACAGTGCCTCAGAAACCAGAGGGCACTGCTGGGCAGGCAGAGCAGCAGGGAAGGAGGCAGAAGTGACTCCCTTGCACAGGCAGACACTGAGATCCCAGCCTGAGCCAGGGGTAGTGCTCCTGGAAAATCCAGGAGGTTCTCTCAGAGGAATCTGATTCTACATACAGGAAAATCCTCATCCCAGTTTTCACCCATGGTTCCCAGTTCTTCTAACCTACCTACACTGTGTATTAAAATAGGCTGAAGAAACCTTTGAACAGATTTCTCCAGCCATTCTGTAATCATGGTATCTAGAAAACATTAGTAGGTATTCAGAAAAATTTCCATATTGAGCACTCAAACATATACTTTAGGAGTTGAGCAAGTATTTCCTAGAAGCAGCCAAGTGAGTCAAGACATTCCAATCACATTGCTAATCAGTGTTCTATGAACTTCCACATGGCAGGAGTTTCCTCCAGCTCTCCCTCTGAACTGAAGCAGTACTTTTATTGCAGAACCCAGCTGAGCTCAGCAGGGCACTGCCACCAGTGGTGCCCACGGGGACAGTCTGAGGCATCACACCAATTCAAAGTCCACTCCATGGCTGTAACTGCAGAAAGACTAACAGCAACATTAGCCACCTGAGTTTTAGCAACCCCTCCAGTGCCTGTGATTTCCCTGCAATAAAGCACACCTCCTTTTCAGACATCCAGAGGAGCAAACCCATTGCAGCACACCCAGCCTGACTCATCCCTGCCAGGGTGAGCAGCTGGCTGTGCCCGAGATCAGCTCCTCCAGGGCCCAGCAGGGAGGAGAGAGCCACAGGGACCACAGGGAGGGCCACCAGCTCATCTCATGAGTTATTCCCACATACTGCTCAGGCTCTGCATGCCCTGGAGGCTCAATGGGACCCTTGGGTGGCAAAAGAGGAATTTTCTTTACATATAAACCACTTTTAAGAAATCTGTGCAGAATGTTTCTACAGAAACACACTGAATGCCTTAAGTTACTGATCCTGTCTTTTAGTGCTTTCACTTGACCACTGGATGGAAGCCACTGAGAAGGATGAAGATACAGTGATGGATAAACAATTTTGCTCTAGGTAACTAACTGCTGGCACAACTATTGCTGCTGTTTTGGGGCCTGGTTTATGCTGTGGAATGGTTTGTCTGGATACCTCAGGGACACCCAAGTCCACATGATATTGTTACCTGTCATCCTACCTCCCACTGCACTGGGACACTGGTAAAAAGCAACTGTGTTCTTGCATTTAGGACCCACAAATAAATAACTACAGCTAGAAACTCTGAGGAAGAAAATGTCATCTAGGAGTAAAATACAGAAGTGAAAACAAAAATGCAAAGAGAATAGATGAGTCATGGCAAAGTTTCCTGTGCCAGAGACAGAGGCTTTGAACCAAGACCTTTCAGAACTCAGTTAACCCAAATCCTGTTAAGGACAGGCAAATCCCTGTACAGACTGAAGCTTAGATGGACAGGAGAGCATTGTAGGGACTGCTCTCCACACATACACCCTACCAGCATGCATGGAAGAAGACTGGAACAGAGCCAAAGTGCAAATAAACAACAGTTCTTTGCAGAGTTTAAGGAAAATATCTGTGCAGCAAGAGCTTAACTCCTGACAACAAGTCCTTCTTAGGAAGAAAACCAGGCAGCTGCTGGAGCAAATATTACAGCTCAACCCCCTGAAGCCCTCTGGAAAACCAGACAGGGAAACATCAGCATAACAAAACAGAGGAGCTACAAACCATTTCAAAGAAACACACAGATATTATTTCACAGGCAGTTTCTGCTCAGATTCTCAATAGAATATGCATGAAGGCAACAATCTATTACTAAGAGTTATTTAGAGAGACTGTGAACCACACACAAAGTAATATCACAACCCACCCAGAACCTGGGAGCTTCTCATTCTCAGCTTTCAGACCTCCTCAGAGGGGCAGCAGCACTCCTGACAGCTCACAGCTCACTAGCAAGAGTGTAAACACTGAAAGCATATACACAGGACAGAGTGATTTTAAGAAACCTTTCTGAACCTAACATGAAGATGGCACAGGTCTGATCTGCAAACCCATGAACAGCACTTCCTGAACACAGAGTGGCATTAGATTGACTAACTAACTAACTAACTAACATAACTAACACAAACTCTGGCTGTTCAACTCAATACTGCACTCACTGGTACTTCAAACAAGAGAATGTACATACTCCTGGTGCTATTTGAGCAGGAAACTCACACAGTCCCTCTGGAAGGAAAGGCCTACCTGCACCTTCCTCCAACAGGATCCACAGCTCTGAGTGCTCCTTCACAGCATAACAGGAGATCAAAATCAGGTTTATCCCAATATGTCACATTCCCAACTCAACACGATTCCACCTCACAGCCCACAGAGTCCCCAGCACTCCTGGACATGTCACTGACACAGAGTGGTGGGTTTGGGTAGGGTTGGCTAAATGGGGTTTAATAAAACATGCCTTGCAGTCATTCCCATCTCCTGAAGAATCTGCAGCTGTCAGGGGAGCCATTCCCCAACATCACCTTTGAAAGGATGCCAAGGTTCAGACAACAGCTCAAGGGCCTGGGTTATCTTATCACACACAGAGCCCAGAGAGGAGCTAAAGGTCTCCAGGAACCAGACCAGAGGGGACAAATGTTTATAAACACCAGGGCAGGGTGAAAAACCCTCAGTTAGGGATGGGAAACAAAAAGGGGGGAGGAAAACACCAGTAAGCTAAAAGTACATCCTACTGATACACTGACAGGCTATTCCATGGGATGTGTCATTGCATGAAGAGTCCAAGTTTCTGGACTAATCACATGGAGCTTTCAGCTGCCAATCACATGATCAGCTTGGTCTGAACTGGGAGGGATCCACCTAATAAACTCACTCGGAATCTTTTAACACTTCCTTACAGAATATGCATTTCCTGTATTCCAGTGTATTTCCTCCAACTGCAGGGACAGGGACAGCACACAGAAATCCCAACTCTTGGGGCATGTAAAGCAAACTGATCTGCACAAAACTGTGGGGTTAGAACTCCCCTTCAAGTCCTATCATGAAGATCCAACTACAACCCAGAACAAGGCATTTAATTTCTTCATTGTACAAAAATAGCTCCAAACCTGATTTCAATTTGTTTTCACTACACTCTCCTCTCCTCCAAATTGTTTCCAAACCCACAGCCTCCTCTGATGTTAATTGAGTGTTCACTTTTGCTTACTCTTTAAAAAGTCTTTCTCCCCTGGGAAGCTGTTTTTATACACAAATCACCTAAAGTGACACAGACTGGATGCTGGAGATGATTAAGAGAGGGCAGGGTCAAATTTCTATCTAAAGAAAGTCACAGATGTCAGCCAAATTATTTCTATACATACTTAAGCGAGCCTGAGTTACCATATGCATGGCATTAGTAACTTCAAGAAATTCACTATTTCTATGTTTATGCTGACTGCAGCCCTGAAACTAAAGCCACTGCTGCACCACAGCAGGGTGGGCAAGGTTCATTCACTGCACAAAGAGGTAAATCCTGAATAGATGAAAACTTATCAGAGTTGCTAATTTTACAAATGCAGTTGTTCTTTCAGTCCTTCTCTCACCTGAGGTTGTATATCTGAGCTGCCTTCCCAGGCAGAACTGTCTGAGAAATGTACAAGTAACACCTTGGAAACACTTACTATTCCTCTTTCCCAGAAAATGGAGCAGACCAAAAAAAAAACCAAACCCTCCCAGACACTTAGAATGATCACTCCCAAATAAGCATCACAGCAAAAAACCCAAGCACATTATTTCAGACATTGCCCCACAGACTCAATTGGAGATTTCTTGATTATCACTGAACAAAAAGACTAAAAAATTGCAGGAAAAGAACCTCCAGACAACAGAGAACATGAGAGGGACAGCAGGTGATGCTTACAACAGAGGACAAGGCACAAAGCCAGAGTATAAATCAGTGCAATTCTGTTACTTGGATGTAGCTGAACTTTCAAACCCCAGAACATTAAGGTCCTTTACCTAAGCTTGAAAGAGATATCAGCATAAACAGAAATTCTCTCCTCGAGTCCTAAGAAGCAAAGAGAGAAAACAAAGGCCAGAAACTGCAAATGTTCACAAGAGAAGAGAATTTCCTGATGTCTGTGGAAGGGGCAAACAGTGAACAGCAGGGCTCAGGGTCACCAGAGCCTGCCACGAGCCTGAGCACAGAGCCAGGCTCTGGTCAATGCAGAACTGAGTTTCTGGGAGATGAAAACTTGAATCGCGTGGTGAATCTCAAGTATTCCTACGCAAGGATGGGCTATACTGTGGGTTTGTATCTGAAAGTATCTGCTCAAATTATCTGCTAAAGTGGAAATGGTGCTAGAAGTTAACGAAGAAACAGAACATAGAAAGATCAGAACAGACTAAAGACTCTGGATGGAACCACTGCACTCACAGTTTTGATACTCTGCAGGTCAAATATACAAAAGGAAAAAGAAAACAGTCCCAGCAGATGTGTAGAAAGCATCAGCAGTCAAACCAAGGAAGTAAGGCAGGCACATAAATGATTCTGTTCAAGACACTTTTCCTCTCTATTGGGTGAAATCCATTGTTTTAGCTTATTCACCATCAGCACCAATGGAATCAGCTGCATCCACACCCCAAGAGCAGAGCATCTACTTACCCCTGGTTCTACTTGAGTTCTATCTGCAATGTCAATATGGACAACTTCAACGCCCTTCCACGTGTTGGGATCTAAATTGTGCACCTGCAAAAAGAGAAAAAGGAATGATTCCCATGCTGGCACCTTACACAGTGTGCACCTTGTGCAGGACATGCATGTGCTATGAGTTTTCCAGGATTCACAACAGCAGAGTTCTCCAAACCTGCCCTTTCTGCCTTTCTCAGAGGGAATCATCTCCACGGTCACAGCTTAATTCACTCACTGACCAATTTTAAACCAGCACAAAGCCTTCACTTCTTGTGCATTCAGGGAGCCTGGATTTAAGATTAAGCTGTATTCATCTGTCACGTTCATTAGCACTAATGAAACTGAGCTCTAATTACAACCAGTACCCATTCCATAATCTGCAGGAGCTTTCTGAGCTGCAAAGAAGCTGCACAAATTCCAAGTGCAAATGTGCAGGTTTCAGTGACCTGAATCATAGAGCTGCCCTGAAGGTGGACCAGTGCAGTGTGTGTGGCCTGAGGAAAGGTCTGAGCATGGAATCTGCTCCACACCTGGGAGCCAGAGCAGGGAACACATCCAGTGCTGCAGCTCACCCAGGCACCGCAGACAGACTGACAACTGCTCCTCTGTGGATGTTTTTAACAGATCAAAATCCTCCTGAAGTGACCTGTGAACCAAACTGATTGTCTGGGGAGGAAAATGGGAGCTTAGCCAGGCAGGACAGTTTACAGAGGCAGCTGCACTGCCTGACTGCAGAGTACACATTGCAGCTCCAATGGCCTGGTGAAACCTGTTGTAAAACCTGTCTTCAAGTAAACTTCTCAGGCTGAGTATCACTAGCATGTCTAAGGTAACAGAACATGAAATAAAAACAGAACTTATGGAAAAGCTATTTAAATACTGGTGTGAGAATCAAACACCTGCTCTGACCTCAACATAAAACCAAAAACCTGCTCTTGTCCTTGCTCAGGTGAGACAGCCTGACCACCCTGCAAGGACTGGAATAACACTCTTCCTGCTTTACTCACTTGTCAGGCTTTGACCTCATGCAGTAATTATCCACCACTAGCAGGCACAGAACACTTTACCTGCACTAACTGTACCACTGCCCCAAGGTTTGGTATCCAACTCACGTTCTCTGTTGTCCCCAGATCTGGTTTATGCCAGGTCTCGATTTTTATGAAGAAGTCATCTTTCATGTATTCATTCTGGAAGAGTTAGAAGCAAAAAGCATGAGTCAGATTACACCTCTGCTCAAAGCTAAGTGGTGTCTATAAACAGGTCACCACTAAGACTTGACTAGCAACAGAGTCTACTTAAATCAGCAGAGACACAGCCCCCTCAGCTACACCCAGACACAGGTACATGATAACTGGTGTCTAAACCTTAAACTGGAGCAATAAGGACTAAATTAAAACCAGTAATGTCTGAGAAATGCAGCTCTAGCTGTGACACCAACAGAAACGACCCTGCCTTACTGCCCTGCTTCCTCAGCCCTGAGGTTCTTCACCTCTGTGTTCATGTTCAAATTACTAACACTGCAGCTGGATGTTGCTGTACAGCAGGGTAACAACCACAGAGGTCTAGTTACCACCAAACTGCATCTAGAGCCTACCACAGGTGTGCACAGGCATCAGCTCAGACTCCTTGTAACCCCTCGTGTCACCTTGTATCAATCTAAGCCCTGTCTGCAAGTGAGCAGATAGAGCAGTTTAACATTTTAAGTTTCCTCAGACAGGTCAACAAAACACATACACAGAGCACTGAAGCCTTAATGATGTCCCTCCCATGCATCTTAAATCAGTAAGAAAATAACAAACCCAACCCCTGAGCTATGCTCACCCATTTAAATTCCCATTGCAGCTGAGGCAGGAATTCCCTTCCCAGCAGTGGCATTTCAGTCAGGTGGGGACTGATCCTATTGCACTGCTCTTCCTGCATTCAAGAGTGCAGAAGCATCTGATTTGGCACTTGCCCTCCCTTTTTAGCTCTCTTACAGCACATTGTGCAGCTGCAATGGTAAGTAAAGATAAAAAAGGACATGCAAAAAACCAGAAATCTCTGACAAATTACAGAGCTTTCTCATTACAGCCATGTGCAGACAAATGAGGTACCAGGGAGATCCATGCCAGGAGCCCTGGCAAGGCACATGTGACAGGCTGGAGCCAGACACTGGAGTGGTAATAACAGCAAAATGTATCTCAGGAAACCCAACCCAGGAGTGGTAGGAAGGTAAATACTCACTGTCACAACTGTCGTTGGGAGCACAAGCAGTGAAAGGGAAAAGGAAACACAAAATGTTGTTAGACACAATTGTTTCTGAAACATCTCACACACAGCAATGCTGCACAGCACACCCAACACTCAGTCTGAGCTGTGCACCACAGCAGAGCTCAGCTGAGCTTCACCTTAGAAGTTCCTTCTGGAACAGCTCCAGCCACCCCACAGAAACACTCACAGACCTGAGGACTCACAGCTAACACACCAAACCCAGCAGTCACTCAGCTCCAACAGACTGTGAGGAGCTAAGTGATTCCCACCCAGGCTGTGTCCCAGCCCTGCAGGGAATCTCTCCTCACTCCCACCCCAGGGACTCTAGGTGCCATGCCCTGGAGCAGCTTTCCTGGCTGGAGGAGTCACCACACACAGCAGGAACATCTGGCACACATCTTCCTCTCCTCTAAACCATTTCAGCCCAAACCCCCACTGAGCAACCACAGCAAAACACAAGGGAGACCTACTTGTTCTACAGTAGGGATAGGCATTCCAGGCCTTCTCGTGGAACACCAGGGAGCCTTCTGGAGCAATCATCCTCACAAACCCAGGGACCTTACTGAGAAAAGCAAACATGGACAGCAATTCAAAATTCTGCCAGCTCATACCCCTCAGTGGTTTCTGCAACAAAGGCACTTTCTTATGTCCTACTCATCTCTGACCCCTCTCCATCCAGAGCAGCCAAGCACAGCTTTTCCAGCTCTTCCACACCAGCAGTGCTCTATCCCACTGTGTTTCACACCTTTTCCCACTCACCAGAGCATTCATGCTTAATTCAGCAAATGACAGAAGGGCAGAGAAACACAAACAGGTATCCCAGAACAGCAAATGCTGGAGGTTGCCCCCACCCTCAGGCATCTCCATACCAGTGACTACAGCAAGGTCAGTGCTTCTCTCACCTCTTTAAGTGGTAGATTTTGTGAGTGTATTGTCCCTTCTCACCATCCTTCTCATAAGGCTCATTTGTTAAGACTTGAATTCCTTCCCCACCTCCTGTTTCATTTTTGCTAGCTTCTGCCACAGAGTACAGCTGCCCAACTTGATACTGAGAAGGGAAGAGAAGGAAAACATCAGCACTGAAGTGAGCCACAACTTTTAATACAAACAAAATCCAGCTGCTTCCAGTGAAAATGTGGTAGTACAAAGTCATCAGAAAAGTAAAAGACACAACAGAAAAGATGTTTAGCAAACCCTGACAACCTCCTGGCAATATCTGCAGCTCACAGGCACCAGGTCTGCACCAGGCTGGGTCACACCAACCCAACACTCTGGTGCACACCTCAGCTCACCCTAAGAGCAAAGTCTGTTTGCTGTTCTTCACTGCATCAAAGAAAGGTAAGTTTGTCGTTCACAGGTTTTGCAGTGATTCATTTGCAGCTCTGAGTCTCCCCAGGTCAGACTTGTAACCAAGATGCCACAGTTCAGGGCCCAGGACAGGCACAAGGCACAGAGCAAGTGTGACATCCCCTCAGGGCACATGGGACACCCCATGATGACTCCCATCCAGAGTGCCAGTTGAACTGCTGCCCTCAGATCTGGGAACACAATTCCCACCTGTGACTTTAGGAAAAAGCCTGGAGTCCCCCAGGGCTGGACCAGGTGGCACTGGGGTGGCTGAGGGCAGCTTGGAGCTGCCTCTGCCTCCCAGGGGTTCCCTGGGCCTGGCTGGGGCTCCCACCCGTGGTCACTCCCTCTGGCACACAGGAGTCTCTGGACCAGGCTGGTCAGATTGAGCACACCAACCCCTTCCCACCCTCCCCAGAGCAAAGCAGGACCAGGACATACCTCCTGCACTGAGCAAGGTAAAACCACTCGGCTGAAAGAGGAAAAGAGCACAGTCAGCAACACGAACCATGAGACTTCACCAGAGGTAACAGACACAGCTGTGACACACTCAGCAGCGAAGGGGCAAAGAGAATTCAAGTTTTCTCTCCAGAAGTGCCATGATGGGAGATTTAGGACACACCACAACACACCCAAGTACAACTCGATGGCAAATATGTCACAAAAGGAAAGACACGGGGTGAAGGGCATTAAGGAGCTGCACAGAGCAGCCAGGAAACGTGGGGCCTGCGCAGCTCTGCCACGAACTTGTGCTGCGCTGCATCTGTGTGAACTTCCGAGCCTGCACCTCCCCTGCAGCACCGCCGGGGCTGCAGCGCTGGCTCCGCAGCGATCCGCGGCCCGAAGGGGGAGGAACGAAGCGGCTGGTGCCTTATGGCAGGACACCCCGCGGGGAGCTGTGCCCGCGG